CCCCCCCCCCCCCGTCCCCACCCCCCTTCTCCCAAATCAAGGGTGGGAAAATAGTGCATTTTGAATTTCACGGGGCTTTATCCTTGATTTCGAGGGGATTGGGGTTTGTTGTTCTATTTCAATCTGTCCAATGCTGTAGTTCCTGTACAGTTCATTTCAGGCCAACAGTCGATTTGTTGCGTTGACCTGACCGAGATTCGCTCAACCGAAACAAAATGACCGCACGGCAAACATTTTGAGATCTAGACAGGAAGCTTTTATGCTTTCTTTTAAAAGTGGCGTGATAATATTTAATCAATATTAGTTTTTCGATATTGTGGGCACACGAGTTCGACATGGATGTTACGCGCCTATAAAACAAAGTAATGCACATTTTCATAGTCAAACTCTTATCATCTTTAAGCTTTTCCTATATTCAAATAGGAATACTTGGTGTTTATTGAGTGCTTATCGTTTTTTGCCATACGGTGTGCGTCCAATAAATAGTGCAATTGAAAAAGACTAACTAAACTAAGACAATTCTTTAAAAGTCTACTTTTGTCGCTAAATAACAATGTCTATGGCTTTATCTCTTGGAATGCTGGGTCACGTGTCGGTTTCCATAGCATCAGTTTGGCGTAATTCTTCAATAGCTTTTTCCAGTAACATTTAACATCCTGCATACGAAGATGTTCTTTGATAAACTGATAACCTCTGGGAACAAGAAGAATAACAAAGACGAACGATCAAAATGAGTGAGTCAGCCATTAAGAGGTAGCGAGTAAGAATGGGTCACTGATGGTCGCATTGCATAATCTGACAGTTTGGGGGACGCGATTATTTATGGCAAACAAAACAATAAACAATAAACGCAATCCATTTCTTATTGGCCGTTTTTATACATAAACATAGTTGCTAATCCTAGCAGTCGAGAGACTATACAGGATATTAAGAAGCAGTCTGCGGAAAAAAGAAAAGCGGAGAAATAGAAAACCTTCACTGGAGGACGCATTATCCGTCCAGACGGATATTTCGTCTGTGGCCGTTTTTTTACGGCTAAAGACGCATTCTCCGTCTGGACGATCTTGAGCAAACATTTGTCGTTTGTCTGGTTATGCGCCTCGAGTATAAAGAGGGGCGCAAGACGCATGATGCCTCTAGACGAACTGTCCTTCGCAATACTTTTTGAACGACGCATTAAGAGAAGTAGTTCG